ACTGAGAAGTCATCCATGAACACCTCCATTATATCTTCTACCATGTCAGTAAATATGGCCATCATGCACCGTTGGAATGTGGCGGGTGCATTGCATAGACCAAAGGGCATCCTCCTGAAGGCATAAATTCCGTACGGGCATGTGAATGAGGTCTTTTCTCTATCCTCAGGTGCAATGGAGATCTGATTGTACCCTGAGTACCCATCCAAGAAGCAAAAGTGTGACCTCCCTGCCAATCTATCCAGCATTTGATCAATGAAGGGAAGTGGGAAGTGGTCTTTTCTGGTGGCTAGATTCAACTTTCTATAATCCATGCAGATTCTCCAGCCTGTGACGGTTCTTGTTGATATAAGTTCATTGTTGTCATTCTTTACCACTGTCATGCCACCCTTTTTAGGCACACATTGAACTGGGCTAACCCAGCTACTGTCAGAGATTGGGAAAATGATTCCCGCATCCAACCATTTTATCACTTCCTTCTTCACCACTTCCTTCATATTCGGGTTTAGCCGTCTCTGATGTTCCCTGGAAGGTTTGTGCCCCTCTTCCAGCAGAATCTTGTGCATGCAGTAGGCGGGGCTGATCCCCTTGATGTCTGCCATGGTCCACCCAATGGCAGTTTTGCACTCCCTTAGTACCTGTAGAAGCTGTTGAACCTGCACATCTAACAAACCAGATGAGATAATAACAGGTAATGTGGAGTCAGGACCCAGAAATTCATACCTGAGGTAAGTTGGCAATGGCTTCAGTTCCAACTTAGGGGGTTCCTCGATGGATGGTTTAGCTGGAGGGGTCTCTCTCTTTTCTAAGTGCAAAGGCTCAAACTCCAGATTTCACTCCCAGAACCCTTTACCTTCCAGTGCCAACACCCATTCCGCCAAATCCTCACCATTCACTTCATCTAAATTTGCCAAGCATGCAGCAAGGGGATCCTCAACCGTCAACGCCTCGTCATCAGCCTCTACAATTACATCCACTGCATCAATAAGGGAACAATTTGCGAACTCACTTGGTCGCCTCATCGATTTCTGCACATTGAATATAATTTCCTCATCATTGAGCCTCATCTTAAGCTCCCCAGTCTCGCAATCAATCAAAGCTCTCCCCGTGGCCAAGAAGGGTCGTCCTAGAATTATAGGAATTTCTTCATCCACTTTGCAATCCAAGATTACAAAATCTGCAGGGAACACGAATATCCCCACCTGAATAAGCACATCATCAAGAATCCTAAATGGACGCTTAACAGTCCTGTCAGCCAGCTGCAATAACATAGAAGTAGGTCGAGCTCTTCCAATGCCTAACCTCTTATAAATGACCAGGGGCATGAGATTAATGCTGGCCCCTAAATCACAGAGTGCCTTAGCAAAGGCATAGTTCCCAATGGTGCATGGAATTGTAAAACTACCTGGATCAGATAGCTTTTCAGCAACAGGTCTAGATACCACTGCACTACATGTCTGAGTAAGGGTCACAGTCGACAAGTCTTGAAAGTCAAACTTCCGAGACATCAGTCCTTCATCATTTTAGCGTATCCTAGAATCTCCTTTAGAGCTTCAATCAGTGGAATGTTTATCTGAATTTGTTTGAGCATCTCTAGGAACTTTTTATACTGCTCCTCCTTTTGATGATTGGCCAACCTTTGCGGAAATGGTGCAGGAGGTCTTTTCTTCCCAATCACTTGAGATTTTTCTTTCTCAGCTACTGTCTCAACTATTGGCTCCGCTACTGTCTCAATTACTGGCTCAACTACTGTCTCAGTTTCTTGCTGCATATTCTTTTCTTCAGGAGCAGGGTGAACTGTTACCTCTGTCAATCCCGTAGAGTCATCCAGTTCTATGGGCACTGGAATTAGTGTCTCAGCCTGTATGTTTTCTCGAGCTCTCTCTTGCTCAACATCTAGATCCCTACCATTTCGTAGACTCACCGCCATCAGCTGCTTTGGGCCTTGATCTTTTGGATTGATTTGGGTATGTGCAGGTAATGTCCCTTGAGGACGATTGTTAAGTGACATAGAAATCTGGCCCACTTGTACCTCAATATTCTTGATAGCTGCATCATGTGCATCCACCCTTTCATTTATTTTAGCATTGGACCCAATAACCTGCTGCATCATTGCTTCAAGCCTTGCAAACCCGTCTTCCTGTCTTCCACCCTGCTGTTGCTGAGGTGGGTGGTACCCTTGCTGCTGATTGTTGTACCCTTGTGGTCTAGGATACGGTGCCATGTTGTTGGGGGGTCTCATGCCTCCCATATTTTCGGCGTTATACTGTGGCTGCGGTGGCCTGTACTGCTGCTGAGTCTGCTGACCCCAGTTCTGATTACCTTGCCTCTGACCCCCATAGTTAGCCACATAGTTCATATCTTCAGGGTGCTGGTGATGATGATCATGCTCTGTATTCCAGGGATTACCAATTGGCTCGCTAATGCAAGATGTGCACAAGCCCCCGTTGGTAGTGTCTACTATGTGAACTTGTTGCTTCTGCCCTGATTCCTCCACCTTTTTGGTGAGGATGCTCATTTGCGTCAAAAGAGTCGCCATGTTTTCAGCCATTGTATTAGAAGGATCAAGAGGCACTGAGTGCACCACTGGAGTGATAGGTGCATTCCTAGATGTCCAACGCGAATTCTGCGCCATCTTGTCGAGCAAATTCTGACCTTCTCTCCAAGTCTTGCTCAAGAATGCCCCACCAGCCGAGGCATCAACTATATTCTTCAAGCTGTCTGACAGTCCCATGTAAAACCGTTGTCCCAACATCTGCTCTGGAACACCATGGTGGGGACACATAACCAACATTCCTTTAAACCTGCCCCATGTCTCGTGTAGTGTCTCCATTGGTTTCTGTTTGAAACTCACAATCTCATCAATTTGTTGAGCGGTCTTGTTGGGAGGATGGAACTTGTTGTGAAATTGCTTGACCAACTCATCCCAAGTTGCTATAGAGTTTATGGGAAGCGAGTTTAGCCAAACCTGAGCAGCTCCTGTCACCGAGAATGGAAACAATAATAATCTGATTGCTTCCGGAGTCACGTTCGGTTGCCTTTGAGTTTTGCAAATAGACAGGAAGTTCTTTAAGTGTTGCTGCGGGTCTTCTGTTTGTGTCCCAGAGAAAAGTCCTTTGTTCTGCAACAAGTGTAGCATGTTATTTGTGATCTGGAACGATTCAGCTTGTATCGCAGGCACAATAATGGCAGTGGCCAGATTGTCAGCTGTGGGTTGTGCCCAGTCATAAAGTGCACCCTCAGGCACATGAGGTGCCAATTGCTCATCCCTGACGTTCCCGTTGGGGTCGTTTATGTCGCCCATGTCAATTTCGAGTTGGTGTATTTGTTGTGATTGTTGAAGTCTTTTGTTTGCACGATTCAATGCCCGGAATGTCTTCTCGGGGTCCGAGAGTCCTTCAAGCAGTTCTCCAGTCCTCGTAGAATTTCTAGGCATGCACCTGTGCACCCAGATCAACAACCGTCAAATTTTCAATGAAAAAGTTGGTAGAGAGAATACTGACTACAACAAGAATCTTTGTATTTCTGTCAATGACAATTGATAATTCCGTTAACTCCCCGGCAACGGCGCCAAAATTTGATCACGGCCAACTATGCCGTATAAAAAGGACTCTGCGGACGTTGCAAATATAACCTGAGTATTACGCCTAGGGTCGAATCCACAAAGAGTTAACCTATCAACCACTATCTTCAGACCCACTAAGTCTTCAGAACCAGCTTCCCAAATATTCAAATCTCAGTTGAGTGTTCTTTAACAACTAGCTTGCAAGTAACTAAGTAACTGTAAACTAAACTAATAAGGTTGTAAACAATTATGAGAAAAAGCTAAGGCAATGATTTCCCCTATTGATGGAATCCCTTCTGTTTAAGCTCATACAAATTTACCCACACATCTCTATCAATCATGAACGCTAATCATACCGCAAATCTCTCCCGAGTAATCACAGTAATCTACTATTGCACTCTCCCGAGATACACTAGCATGCTTTATTTAGCACGATTCACTTTAGATTACACCCAAGGCTTCGTTATCCCTAATCCCGCCTTTAAACCCGCAATTATAGATTCCTCTAATAATCTAAGAGTGGTGTTGTTCAACAATACCCTAAATATGCACTCTTTTCCAAGTTATGCACACTAAATAGACACAGCTAATTGAGGATCCTGTCAATTAACTACAAAGAACACGAAGTTGAACAAATAAAGATTAAACTAGCAATTTGTATTCACATAAACAAGAAGTTCATCACCCAATAGGTTCCATCAACGCCTTAGACAAGGAATTTAGCTACTCATAGATATGGGAGAATAAACTAAGCTTGAATTCATCATAAAATCACAAGAAAAGAAGAAAGATGTTTAGAGTATTTTCTCCCAATCTTTTTCCTTGCAAAGAAACCTAAAAAATCAATACATGCCTCTCTTGGGCGAAGTCTAATGTTTTAAATAGGGTTTAGGTCTAAAAATCCCGTAATTAACACTTTGGTCCCTGAAGTTTCTGCGCCTGCCGCGGTTCTGCCGCGGTCGCGGTAGAACCGCAGCCAAACACCCTCGCGGAATCTTTGAACTTCTGCAGCTGCTTCCCACCGCGGTTCTGCCGCGGTCGCGGTGGAACCGCGGTGGATCCAGTTCTCTGAATCTTCGGCCTGTTTTTGCACGGGTCACTTAAGAAATTTCACAGTTGGCCTCTTTTTTCATCACTTTTGACTCCAAAACTGCTCCTTAGCCGTCTTTATACATATATCACCTACAAATCATGAAAAGCACTAATAAGAGCATTTTGTCACCACTTTTAGCATTAAAACTACACAAGAAGGTGATTATTTAAGGTGTGATTATAGTCAAATTCACCTATTATCATTGAGCCCGAAGGGGATATTACCAATGGCAAACCAATATTTGCCACCGGATGACAATTAATGAAGAATATTCCTCAATATTAAATGCACATTCGTTATTGGGGCTTTTGGCATTCATAGCTCGTTGTTACATATTCAGCAATGGCCCCCATTATTCTCGTTTAAGAGGGGCTTGATCCTATGACATTGTTCCTTAGGTATAGCTATAAATAGTGACTTCAACCGACACGAAATTTCTGGCAAACTTATGCCACACATTATTCCAAGCTAAATAATAGGAGTACTTTATTTTCTATCTAACAATATTCTTATTGCTGCCTTCGGAAGCCTTGCTCCCGGAACCAAGTTGTCCGCTATTTTATCTCGATTTCATCGCTAAGTCTTGCATTTTATTTAATTTATTTGTCATTTTGGAATCAAATCGATTCGTTTGTCTATCAACTACGCTATAAATTCAATTGTACCGTTTTACGGTTAAACATTTATCTTTTAACCTTTTCCCTGTACTGAAATAGATTGTTATGGCCTTAAAATATCGTGGAGAGCAAGTACTAGGTGGTATCTATACTGGGATTAATACAAAGCAGATATTCATGACGAGTAAAATGGTACTGTATCCTCCTCTCATCTTAATCTGCTAGCTAGAGATATATTTTATTATTAAAGCTGGTTAATTCTTTTGTGCTTTTATGTTGACACAATTGTTGTTATATATGTAGGTAGAAGAGTACAGTGGGCTTAAGCTGCAGCCACATAAGGCCATTGTTGGAGCTAATGCATTTTCTCATGAGAGTGGCATCCATCAGGTTTTGTGTTATTCTTCTCTAAAAGTTTTACCTCTACATATACTAGATCCTTTTTTTTCATTGTTCCTTTTTTTTATATATTTTTTTTAAAATGTGGTTTAGGATGGAGTGTTAAAGAACAGAGATACATATGAGTTTGTATCTCTTGAAGATGTTGGGTATCGTCGTGCTAATAAATACAGTATTAGTCTGGGAAAACTCAGGTACAATTTTATTTTCAGAGTAATCGATTTGTTATGTTGATGGTTTGATAGAGATTATTGTTCAAATTCTTTGGTCTTTTCCCCATATTTTTGGATGAGTCAAAAGAATTCGACTAATAATATATAGGCAAAATACATAAGTTACCCCCTAATCTATGGACCAAATCCCTCTTACACACTTTTTGCGGACCAAAATTATCTTACACACTCAAGCTTTTCGAAGTGTGCCTAAGACACACCTTTTTTGTGTTTGACCACTTCATCTCAGAGATTGCATCACACGCGCAAATTAAATCGTGACACGCGTCATAACTCAGAAAAAAAAAACTAGCATAATTTAGCATCCCAAATT